AGCGAACAGTAAGAGTGAAAGTGGCTCTAAATTGATCCATGGATAGCTGGTGGATGTCAATTCTTCTGACGTTGGGCTAACCGATTTGTCTCATATCTTCTTGAATGGAGTGAGCCCTTTCACAGCATGATATGACTGGTCTTATCGCAGTCTACAAGGTGTACTCGATAGCCGCATGACAGTGTTTATCAGTGAAGGACAAATATCAGGCTGTGGCTTAGATTGCAGCTTTGGTGCAGCTGCAGTGTAGGTGATTGCCTCCACTGAAAAGGTTGCTACAGCACCATTGTCACCACCTGTGATGAATTACTCATTGCCCAAGATGCTGTAGCCCAATTCAGGGCCCAAGTAAAAGCATTGCCGATGTTGACAATGTCAATGATAAACGTGATAAGTTGTGCCAATGTGGCAGTTTTTATATGAAATATTTAAATAGATGGATTCCCATTTCCATTCCTCGAGTCTTCTGCTGGTAGCTTCCTGACGGGGGCTAGCTTTTGATTCGGCCACGCAAGATTGTGGTTGCTTGGAGCTTCCAAGGATGAGTGAGAGCCGTTTATGATCAAGAGGATAAGGAAGATGTACCCAGTTTTAGGGTGCAGCGCAGAATGCTCCATATGAGGCTGTAGGGTCTGTTTGCCTGCTTCGGATGTTACAAAGCAGGACTAGCAGCACATCTTAAAACTTTTCCATTGCGAACTTTACCAACTCCGTGAGTGAGTTGATATTTCTTCCTTGGAACTTATCGATTTAATCGGGATGCCGAACTCCGCCACTAAACTCAACGTTTATTTTGCGGCTCTGTTTGTTAGTTAGCTGTGGAATATATTTACCAGAGATTTTTAGTTTATTACGCAGTATTCGTCGTCAACCCGAGTTTTGTCTGCAATTGAGGAAAAATCTAGTCAGCGTTTGGTCCTCCATGCATGCAGATGACGAGTTAAGATAATGAAGTGCATCATTCTCTCGAATCCGTGTTTAGTAATATCAAACAAGAATAAGCTATTAGAAGAGCTCACATAATCTGTGGTGTTCTTTAAATTCTAAGTTAGATAATTTTAATTCATATTTTGAATCCATATCGCTTGTGAAAGGGAGAGAGAAGGTGTGCCTACGCTGCCTTTGAATCATGATTTGTCAAATTCCACGGACGTGAAAGTGTCATTCCTTTGAGGAGCATGCATGGAGGGGAGAATGGGGGAATGCCATTCTCCCGTCTCCTGTTGCTGATACTGCGCCCCTGTGTAGCCTCTATGCTTTGTTACCCCATGGTGCGGAGGCTGTATAGCCAGCGAGATTAATCACTTTATCAATGAACTTGTCTAGCGCCTCTCCTCCTTTGGTCTTATCTCATAAATATGCGGAGTTCTTTTGATTAAAAAGCAAACTTTACAGTCCTCCTTCTACAAGAGAATAAAAGCATAAAATACAACAAAATTTGATGCATATTCTTGCGTAACTTTAGGTCGTTCATTCCCTTCTGAAATTGGGTTTAACTTACTGTTGCCACTACTTCTATTAAAACGTAGAATTGTTTTAGTCACCTAAATTTTGAATTTTGCTTTATGCATTTAGCG